TTGTTAATTTTTTTTTTTTTTTTGTTAAAATTATTGTTTGAGTTTCCGGATTTAATTTTTTAAAGGAGGCGGGGGTTTGATTTATCGTTTTTTTCTTTTGACGTTGCAACCCCTCCGAAAATTTAGCTCCTTCCCCTTAATTTTTTTTTGTTTCCTTCGCCTCCCCTTTCCCCCAATTGACGACGGGTTAGATTTTTTTTTAAATTAGAACGGTCGAAGATTGTCATTTTCTGGTAATTTAACGGTCAACGTGACCATCTGTTTTTCCATCTCGGAATTCGACCGCAGCTGTCGAACGTGAATTAGCGCCAAAAGTTTTTGTTAAAACAAATTGACCTCGGTCGAAACGAACGGGGGGAGGGGGAGAGAAGGGGTCACGATCACGAAAAAATTTATTTTTCAACTTTGAACTCGGAAAATATCGAAAATGTTTAAAAAAAAAAAAAAAAATTTAACAACGTTGTAATCCCCACATATTTTGATATGAAATAAAGGTCGAGGAATTCTTTAACGCCCCCCCCCTCTTCCCTCCTTTTTTCTCTCTCTCCTTCCCCCGTTGGATTCTTTTGAAATGTTTATTTTGTTATTATTATTATTATTTTTTTTTTACTCGTCGTAAAAACTCACGTTAAATGTGATTCTTTTGCTGATTTATTTATTTATTATTTATTTATTTTCTCGTATCAGGAGAGCGAACGCGTTCGGTGTCTTATTATTTATTTATTTTTTCGTAATTAATCTTGCATAGTTTAGTGACACGTCATTTATGTCGAGAGAGAGAAAGAGAGAGAGAGATTGAAAGAGAGAGAAAAGGTGTTTACGTTTTAGTTTTCTAGCTCTGACAGAAGTTTGTCTAAAGTTTTCAAAAAGTGAAAATCGTTTTTTTTTTTTTTTTTGGGATTTTATTTTATTTTTTTTTCGATGGCTGATTCCACAGGTTTGTGATCATTCGAAAATATTTAAATTTTTGTTAACAGGTTTGTTTGTTTGCTTGCTGTTTGTTAGTCTGTTTGTTTGTTTTTTTATTTACGTCTTTGGTTTTTTTTTTTTTTCCTTGGTTAATTACGTGAAATGTGACAAATGGCCCCATTGAAACCTTTTTTTACAACGGTATGAATTTGAAAGAGACAGGGAAAATGAGGGGAAGGGAGCAAAAAAAAAATCCCCAAAGCTTTCTTTTTTCTCTCTCTCTCTCTCCCTTTCTCTCCCTCTCTTTTTTAGACTTGCGCTTTTTCCTACTGCTGCGTTTCGGCCGCATAATAAAATGAAGAAAGCTTCTTTCTTTTTTCCCAAAGGATTTGGTTGCTTCCATGATTCATTAGAGGAAAAATAACTTTTTTTTGCCCTCCCCCTCTCTCCACATCTTTCTCTCTTTATCTCTCTTTCCACTTTTTTTTTTTTTTCTCTGCAGTGAGTGTAAGGAAAATGCTCTCTCTCTTTCCCTCTGAAGCATACACATTCACTTTTACCATTTTTATTTTTTACTTTTATCTATATATAAATGTGTGTGTGTGTACGTGCGCGTGTTCGTATTTTTTCTTTTCTTTCTTTCCCTTTTATCCGCATACAATTCCATCATTTAAGCCGTTTTTTTTTTTTTTTTTTACGATCCTGGTAAAATTTGAAAAATGAAAAAGAGTAATAATAATAATAAAGGTGGAAACATTTAAACGTTTTTTTTTTTTTTAATCAACGTAAAAATTTGCATTTAAAATTAAAAAAGAATTTCGCCCTTCTTCCCCCTCTTTTTTTTAAGGTTTTCTGACGTTATTAAAAAGGTTTTTCATCGTTTAAATATTTTCAATTAACGTGATTAAACCCTCGACGATACATCTCGGTGGCGGTGAGTTTTTCCTTCTCCTCCTCCTCCTCCTCCAGTTCAGGTAACGCCGTTAATTATTATTATTATTATTATTTTATTTTTTTTGGTGAAACTCTTAAAAAATCATCGAAAGGTTTGTTTTTCCACAAAAAAAAAAAAAAATGTGGGGGGATGGTGGTTGCGGAAATTTGTTTTTTTAAAAATATTTTTAAACGTTAATTTTTCATTTTCGGTACGGTAAAAATAAAGTGAGGAAAGAGAGAGAGGGGGGAGAGAGATAGAGATGAGAGAGACGACGGCGACCCCCTTAAAAATAATTTAAACGCGAATAAAAGGGTATGAAAAAAATTAAAATTTAAGCGAAATGTATAAATTAGATTATAAAAAGGGAGTGGAGAGAGAAAAAGAGAAAATGGATAAACAAGCAAACAAACAAATAAACAAACAAATCCCGAAAAACAAAAGACATTGTTTTGTTGTTTATAAAATAATTGACTCGGAGCATGAGAAAGTTATTTAATTGAGGTCAAAAGGCAAGTTGGCGCTTTTACTAAAAATAAATACGCTACGCTAAATAATTATAACGCGAAATAAAAATTATTTTTATTCTTTTTTGCTACCGTTCAAACACACACACACATAACACGGATTAAATGAATGTTGTTTTTGCTTTTGTTTAAAGTTTTGCAAGTGTTTAATTTGATGTTGATTGATCGTGGAGGAAAAATGAATGTTTTGAAAGGAGTACAAATTATTAGGTTGCCGATCGTTGTCGATTGCGGATCGGGAAAAGTCGTTTCCGGTTGAATCCTGTCGGGAACGATGATGCCACAAGCATCGTTTCGTCTTCTCGCAAAATATCGCGTTTTCGCTTGATTTCGCGCGTGCATGCGTGATTTTATTAACACTGTGATGACGACTCCCGCTCATATATCTCGCACGTTTGTCAGGTATCATTCATTCATTCATTCATTCATTCATTACTTAATCCTCCTTACCGGTGGAGGTGGTATTAATAAGAAACCGTGAGAGTGCTTGTCCCACGCATTCACGTAAAAAAACGAGGAGAACGTTCTTTCGAGGACTACTACTGGTGCTCGCCATGTCTGGTCGGCCACGCGTTATTTATTAAAAATTAAATTTTTAAATAACATTTTGAGGTCTAATAAAGAAATATTACGAGTAATAAATTAATCCAAAGATAACATTAACGCTCGCTTTAACAAACAAACGCTTTCTTTTTTTTTTTTTTTTTTTTTTTGTGACCACGTGAATTTCCGTAGGCGTTGTTGGCATTTATTATTATTATCGGTCTTCTTCGTTCTTATTTTATTACTATTGGAAAATCATTCGAAGGGTTTAAAGGGGGAGGGAAATTTTTACCCTCCATTTTTCTTTTGTTCTCCATCTCGATTTTGCAAAAAAAAAATGGGCGGTTAAAATTTCAAATCGAGAGAATATTAAGGTATTTTTTAATAGTCGAGTTTTTGCCGGTCCCCCCCTAAAAAAAAAAAAAAAAAAAAACAAAATCGACCTTTGTTTTTTTTTTGCGCGTGTATATAAATGAATTTTTTTTTGCTTTTTAAATTATTATTCCCGATTTGAAATTCGTAAATTATATGTTTGTTGCAACGGCCGAAGCAAAAAAAAAAAAAAAAAAGAATGAAAGAAGAATAAGAGGAGGAAGGAAGGAACGGGGGGTGGTTGGGGGAAACGTGAATGGTTGGTTGTTCGTCATGTAAAAATTTTAAAATGTTAAAAACTCATCGATTGTCGAAGAATTGGTAGCCGGAATGGGGAAAACGCCATTTTTGCACCACTGCTGAAAATATGCCAAAATCGCCAAACCGAAAATTAAATTTAATGGCAAACTTGTACATCATCTCGCATACACGTTTTCTCTCTCTCTCTCTCTCTCTCTCTCTCTTTCCATTCCTCTTTAAATGTTTTCTTTATCATTATCATCATCGTTATTTTTTTTTGAAAAAAGTAAGTCGATCGATCGTTGACTCTGTAAAGTTTACACGTGCCAAAAAAAAGTGGTAAAAACCGAAAAAAAAAAAAAAAAAAAAAAAAAAAACGAAAACCTGAAATTGACAAAATTTTGATTGACGAAAATTATAAATGCATTTAATAAAAAAAAAAAAAAAAAATTTGTTGCGGCATTTCCCCGAGTTATTTTGTTTTTGAAGGGAGGGGGGAGGGCAGGATCGTGGGAAGAGAAAAAAAAATTTCGCAAATTTATTTTTTTGAGGGGGGAGTTCACAGTTAATTACATCCGGAGTTTTTTTTTTTTTTTTTTAAATTTTTTTGCTGTCTCTCGGTTTTTGTTTTCCTTTTATATATTTGTCTGTTTTTCTCTCTCTCTCTCTCTCTCTCTGTCTATTTTGTGCGTTTGTGCGTGTGCGTATGCGTATGCGTATGCGTATGTGTGTTTTAAAATTTAGTTAAGTAAATAAACAAGTTTGAATAGTAATATTAGATGTTTAAAGAATTACAAAATTAAATAATTTCACATTTAATACTTTTAGAAAGTTATAATTTACTCTTTATTATTATTATTATTATCATCATCATCATCATCATGATTTGTAAACTACTTCTATTTATGTTCTGAATAAAACATGGTGGCCATATTTGATTTGTTTTTTTTTTTTTTATTTCTGTTTTTGTTTTGAAACTTTAACTGAGCGAAATGCGGGAAATTATTATTATTATTATTATTATTATTATTATTATTACTATTATTATTATTTTTGCCTTCGTCATGTGATTTCGACGGCGTTGAGAATTTTTTTTTTTTTTTGTTTTCGTTCATCGAGTGGTTTAATTGAGTTTTTTTTTTTATTGCATTGTTTGTAGCGCGTCCGTGTAATTAGATTTGCTTAATTTCCAACCTCCCCCTCCCTTCCCCCCGGTAATTCGCATGCGGAAATGGCAAAAATGAAATTTTTATAAAGAGGTGAAAACCGATTGTACGATTTTTAAAATTAATCCTACGCAACGGTGCCGATAATAATAATAATAATTAATTTTTTGATTTCAGGAAACAAGAGCAACTTTCGTTTCCGGGAGTCGTGACAACAACACCCGCGAATGGTGGTCATGAGTTAAAGACAGTAGAAAACTGTAAAAAAAAAAAAAATTCAATTGAAAGGAAAAAATATTAACAATAATAATGACGACAACCAATAGCAACATCGTTGTCGAGTGGCTGAGGTCACTACACTTGGGACAATACGCGGAATCGTTTTTAGACAACGGATACGACGATTTGGAAATATGCAAGCAAGTCGGTGATCCGGATTTGGATGCCATTGGAGTTTTCAATCCGAATCACCGTCTCAGATTGTTACACTCCGTGAGGACGCTCAGGGAAGAAGGTGCCGCGAGCGTTTATTTCACACTCGAAGAAACGTCGGCCGTACACGACGAGTGCATGTGCGATTCGAGTAGTTCGAAAACGGAGTCGTCGACGGGTAAACACGGTTTGAGTGATGGGGTTGCAAGCGAGAAGGGAGGAGACGAGGGTGGTAAGGGTGGTGTTAGAGTGAATTCTAGAAACAGTTCGCGGTCGAACGAAAGTTCGAAAGACGTCACGGGAAAGTTTCGGGACGAATACGAAGAAGGGAAAGCCGAATTGGTTAAAATCCCGAGGATTCAATTGAAAATGCTTTTGAAAGAAAAATTGGGAAAGGATGGGATTCGACTCAGTTGTCAACCTTACTCGACTTCGGTGAGTTTGTTTTTTTGTTTTGTTTTTTTGTCCCTTTTGTTACCTTTCGCCCTTTCGAATTAATTGTCGGTGGTGGTGGTGAGTCAAAGGAAGAGAAGGGTCGGGAGCGGAGGGTGTAAGCAATCATTCATGATCAAAAACAATTGAGTTCCGGGGAACATCACCGCCACCCGGGGAAAACAAAAACAACGAAAAAAATTCAAAATCGTGATAATTTCACAGATAAACAAAAATTTTCAAACAAAAAACGTTTTAGTTAACAAAAAAATAACCCATCATCGTTCATCACAGACACACACACACACACACACGCAAGCACGCATGAATGCAAGCAAATCGCGCCATAGGTTCTGCTTCCGGTTCCTTTCTCTCTCTCTCCCCCTCTCTCTCTGCTCCCCTAAATTCTTAATCGACGAATCATTAATAATCGACTCGTTCGTATGAAATTAGTCATTTTCTTTTTTTTTTTTTTTTTATCATTCGAAGATAGTAATTTCGTATCTCTCTCTCTCTCTTTTTCTCTCATTCGTATAGTCTTTTTGTTTTTGGCTCTCTCTCAATTTGGTGGGTAAAAAAAAAGGTATAATTTTGTAATTATTATTAACATTTAAAATAACTTTCTTTTGAAATCGGATTTGAAAATTGTTTTTTTTTTTTTCACAAACAATCATTCGCGAGCGTTTTTTATTTTATTTTTTGTTATTAAATGAAATCACGATTGCGTAAATTTGTAAAAATGATCTATCGAGTAATAAATAAGATGATGATTTCACAAAAAATGATCAGGTTGAAGTCGGGGGGGAGGGGAGAAAGAGTGGGGGAATAAGCAGGCGAAATCTGGAGTTTTTGTAAAAAATTTTTAACATCCACGTCGGGGGAGCCGGGAAAAGATACAAAAACGAAAACAAAGCTGAAAGTGACGTGTGTGATGATGATGATGATGATGATGATGATGATGATAATGAAAGGATGAAATGATGTGGCGTTTAACAAAGTAAAAGTTTTTTTTTTTTTTTTTTTTGTAAATATTTGCGTGAAGATATTTATTATCTTGTCGTCGGGATAATGGATAATGGCGGTAGTCGGTTCGTTTCATTTCGTTTTTAATTGTGTTTGACCCCGAGGTGAGCCGACGAGTTTGTTATGTCTTAGCGGTAGTAGTAGTAGTGGTGGTGGTAGTAGTACGAATCCGTCGGTAGCGGCCTAGCATGGTTAGCCTCGTCATTTCGTACGATTTTTCATTTTTTTTTTTTTTTTTTTATTATTATTTACAAAATTGTTTATTTATTGAGTTTCTGGAGGAAAAAAATAAAAAGACAAAGGAAAGGAAAAGAAAGGAGACAGTGAGAGTGAGAGAAAGAAAGAAAGAAAGAAAGAAAAGAAAACAAACAACAAAGGAAACGACGACAGGTCGAAATAGATTTAAAGTTTCAAAGGCGGCCGTAATTAAATTGTTTTGTTGTAACAAAAAAAAAAAAAAAAGAAAAACACTTTTCGACTAAAGCAAAAATTTCCTTTTAGACGGCGGGACGTTCATTCTCTTTGTGTTGCAAATGTCAGAATTATTAAATAGATTTTTTTCCCTTTCCTTCCCTTCCCTTCCCTTCCCTTCTCTCTCTCTTTCTCTCTTTTTTGCTTATTGAAACTCTCTCTCTCTCTTTTTCTCCCTTTTGGAAACTTTACAAAAATCAATTTTTTTTACAAATTCCATTTGAGAAAGAGAAATAGAGAAAAGTAGTAATAATAATAATTTTTTCGTTTTGTTTATTTGTTAACAACCGTTTTGCGCCATTTTTTTTTTTTTTTTTTTGTACTTAATAAAATCCTTTTCGAAAAATGTTTTTTTTTTTTTTTTGTTTTATTTTAATAATCTCATTATGTTTGTTTAAATTAATTTTCAAAAGCGAGAGAGAAAAAGAAAGAGAGAGAGAGGAGGGGGGGAGAAGGAAAAACGACGTCGTAAATTTGTTTCGAGTGTTTTTCAAACGGTTTAAATTTAATTTCGCGAGGACAAAAAGTAATAATAATAATAATAATAATAATAATAATAATAATGAGAATAATGAGAATAATGACAAATCCGGTAGATTTTTAATTTCTTTTCTTTTTTCCTTTTTTCCTTTTTAATTCTCTCTTTTTCGTTGTTTGAATGAATTATTCAAAGGTCAGTTAAAAGGTTAAGGGAAAGGTTAGCGAACCTTTTTTTTTTTTCTTTTTGAAAAATGATGAAAAAAAAGTTTCAGCGAAGCGCTCGAGTTTCTCCTCTCGTTTGCTCGAGAGGTAATTCAAAGCTTTTATTATTATTATCATTATTATTATTATTTTCGCGAGAGGTAAAAAAATTTCTTTTTCTTACCTCACCCTTCTCCCCCCCCTCCTTCCCGAAACGAAAGGAAAATTTGAAAATTATGAAAATTATAAACCGACCGACGAGACGAAAATTGTGTGCCACGCGATCTCTGCGACGACGTGACTTTTAAAAAGAAAGAAAGAAGAAATGGTGGGAGAAAGGTAAGGGAGAAAGAAAGAGGGGGGGAACGATCAACTAAATTAAGAGTTTTTAAATAACCGCAGGTTATTATCATTATTCATGTGAAAAAAAAAAAAAAAAAGTTTTTTATTTTTTTTTTCTCTAAAAAAAAAAAAAATTTAATTAAGGGGGTCATAAATGCCTTTTAATTATAAAAATATGCGGCGGTTACGGTTTTTTTTTGTTTGTATTTTTTTTTTTTTTCTTTGTACCGGTGAATCGGCTTTTACCATTGGTCGAGAGTTTTATTTACCTCGAAACAAACAAAAAAAATTTCTTATCGTTATCGTTTTGTTGATAAAGTTTTTTTTGTTTTTTTTTTTTTTTTTTTCCTCTCCGGAATGAAAAATTCCTGGGTAAAAAGGTAGAAACAAAAAGATTTTATTGAATTTGTTCTCCAGGAAATGTACGAGTTAACGACATCAACAACCATCCAGGTTTACATCGATTTATTCCCGTTTATACACATCAATTAACGAAATGCGTTTGTTTGTTTGTACGAATCGGATCGGGATCGAAGTAGAGGAACGTGTAACGGAAATTTAATAATTTGACGATGATGACGTTTGATGAACTTTATCTAACGGAAAAAGAATCGAGTCTTATCATTTTTTTTTTCTCATTCGGTCATTTGGTCATTGACGACGACAAACGACAAACGACGACGACGTCATTTTTTTTTTTTTTTCTTCTTCTTCATCTTCTTCTTCTTCTTCTCCTCCAAAACTTGAAGTCGTCGTGGAGCGAGCGACAGATTAACTGTTAAAAAAAAAAAAAAAGAAGTATTTTAACGACTGACGTATTATTTTTTATATACATAAATAATGTTGTTGTTGTTGTTGTTGTTGTCGCGACGACTTTAACCCGTGGCAAGTCTTTCTCGCATGAGAATAATAATAAATTAAACGGTAATATTATTATTCTTTGAAGACATCACATCTTGTCATTTTTGTCATCATCGTTTTTCTATCTCTCTCTCTCTCTCTCTGTCTTTCTCCAGGAGAAGGAAAAAAAAATAACAAACAAATTTTTATACAATAAAAAAAAGGAGAATTAATTGTTTACAATGTATGAGAGTTGATACGGGATTCTCTTCTCATTATTCTCATTATTATCATCATCATCATTATTATTATTTTTCTATTTTCTTCTGCTTCTATTTGTTTGTTTATATATTTATTTATTTTTTATTTTCGTTTACAACGATGGTAGCGAGACGTTTTTTTTTTTTTTTGGGGGAGTTTTTTTTTTTTTTTTTAGTACTTCTTGTTTATATTTGGTAATGTTTGTCGGTACTATTAATAATAATAATAATCCGAGTGTTTTTTTTTTAACATTCATGCGGGGGGAAAGGGTAACGGTTTTTTTTTCCCGGTCAGAATGTTAATAAAACAGTTGTAAAACGATAGATAAAAAAAAATAAAAAAGTGAAAGTTAATAGATTTAAAAATTAGGATTTATAACCCCCTAATAAAATAATAATAAAATAAAAAAGAAGAGATAATAATAATAATAATAATAAGTGATAAATGTAGTGATAATGATAATGATTTAGTTTGAGAGATTTTTTTTTTTTTTTTTTTGCTCCCCGACGATTATTACGATTCCCGTACATATATTGATGACGGCATGTGAAAATTTTTCAATTTAAATATTGGAAAATTTTTTTTTTTTTGCCCTCTCTCTCTCTCTCACTCTCTCTCTTTCTCTCTTTCGTTCACTCGGTTTTTGTCGGTTAGGTGAGAGAGAGGGAGATGGTAATAAAAGAGCTTTGTCGTCGTATTATTCAATATTATTATTATTAATATTATTATTCCCTTATCTTTTTTACGCACGAGGTTTTTACGCGTTTGAAATATTCAAAATTTCGTTCGAAAGCTTAAATTTTTTTATTTTTTTGTTCTAAAAAAGGGAGGGAGGTGGGGTAGGGGTAGGGGGTAGGGGGTCGACGATTCCATTTTTTTTAATAAAAATTTGTTGTGGTAATTTCTAAAAAAAAAAAAAAAACGAATCGGAGAGTAATGATGATGACACCTTTAAATTCTAATTCGATTCACGGAATGAATGAATGAATGAATGAGAATTGAATCAATGAGATTTTAACTTTTTGTAAGGTTTCCCCAAAACGCGGGGTTTTCTCTCTCTCTCCCTCTCTCTCTCTCTCTCTCTCTCTATTTTTTATTTTTTTTTAAATGTCATTTTAACAATGTAACAAAAAGAAGGGAATAAGAAGCTGCACCACCACCACCCCTCCTAGATCATTAAGAAGGTTAATTTTTCGACGTCGGGGATGCGTTTTCACGGTTGAAATCGACGACAAACATCGGCTTTAACACAAAATAATTGCCATCCATTGTTAAATGCTTTTTTCCTTTTTTCCTTTTTTTCCTTTTTTTGCCTTATTGTGTTTTTTTTTTTTTACTATTCATTCTTTTTTACTTCTTCGTGTCAATTTGATACAAAAGCCGGATTTTTAATAAGCAATTTCGTTTGTTACCCTTACCCTCGGATCAAGGGTGAATTTTGTAAAAAAAAAAAAAATAATAATAATAAAAGAGAAATAAAAATACATAAATAAAAAAAGTTAGAGAGACAGAGAGAGATTCGTTGAATTTAACTTTTTTTTATTTATTATTATTATTATTATTGTTATTATTTATTTATTTATTTTTACGGTTTAT